GAGATTAAAGCAAGCAATCAAAGAAAGCAAAATAAATAACCCTCGGAGTACTTCAAGGGTTTTTCTTTGAACTTTGTAGCTAGAAATTACAGCTCACGCGAATTTATAATCCGCGTACCTTCGCGTTCCGCGAGGGCGATATCGCTGGCAAAATGTTCATCCATTTTTTGCTCCACTAAACACCATCGGTCATTCACGCAACCAAGTGGAAACGGATGCGCCGCAAAGCTGTGTAATCCTCACGCGGCCCACATTTGTCAATACGCCATTAAATATTTCCTCACGGTATGGTATTTATCCCGCAGCCGCTGTTACATACATATGTATACACGCGGTATCTGCATATTTCACCTGCGCCAAAGGTTACTTTCATGCCGTAGCGTTTACTAGATCGCGAGTGGCCACCGAATCCCTCGAATTATCACGCAACTCTGCGATCCCCTCTATATTCACAAATATCACCGATAATAAATGACAAGGAAGTATCGTAAGTCAGGAATATTAACTCTTTCCACTCGAGAGGTAGCTCTCAGTCACCATTAGGTTTTACGCAGGAAATCTACCAGCAATAATTAATTTCTTTGGAACTCGAAGTGTCAATAAAATGACAATCGGGTTACATTTTCGAAGTCGATCTAAAGTTAGAATTCGTGGTAATAGAATGCTAAGAAAGCATCTCGAGTTCCTGGTAGATTCCAGAAAAAAAGGCATCGAGTGGTAAGGATTAAAATTGAATGAAGAATGGTTTGTAGCAATGGGAACTATTTTTCATAGTAACAATCCGCCAAATATTAGCGGCTTGCGTGAACGAAGTTGGATGAGGTTAACAGAGCCGATCGGGGAAGTCGGTCAAGTACTCCCACGCTGTTCGTATTTGCGGTCAGAGAGGGGAATCGTCATCGAGGGGCAAACGAATGGGGGCAGATTCCCACGAGAAAACCAAACCCTGGCCACGGGCTTATCATTTCTGATAACAACCCGTCGAAACGAACGATCCCGTCAGGATTTTCATCGAGAAACAACGCGTCCAATCGTTTGCTTCAACGAAGTAACAGCCACGAGGGGCAGGTCCTTGTTTCGATACCACCAAAGATCTTACGAACATTTATTATTCTACCATTCAATATTATGAAGGCTCTGGGATGATTTGTTAGGAAATTTTAGACAGGTGATTAATACGAAGTTACACTTGTATTGATTAATCTGAACGGAGCTATAGAATTCTTATAGGATCAGTTACAATAATATTGTACAGTGCTTCACAAAAGATGTACACTTTTCTGTATTTTTAATTTATACAGACAGTCCTATAAGTATTTGTACCCTGCACGTCTATCGAAGAAATTTGTTTAAATTAAATGATAGGTTTTGTGTTTCCCAATAAATGTTTCATTATTAATATATACATGTGCAATGTTTATTCATGTATATATTTATAATGTAAAAATTTATTTGGAATCGTCGAGACTATGATTTAATTTAGACAAATGTCTTCAATAGACATAAAAAAAAGGTACGAATACTTATGGGACTGACCCTATTTATATCATGCCTAGATAATCCAAAGTATTTTATACAATTTGCTACGTTTGTCATTTAAATTTCAGAATTATAGCATCGCTCGAAAGGGTCACGTACATAGTAAAAAATAATTTTTCTGTAATAAACAAAACTACTGGACCTGTAATAATTTAGAGTGAGTCACTTTCACTTTCCAGTTCCATCATCGCGACCCATTTCGATGGCAGCCACGGAAGGAGGATCGTTTCCACGCGCTACCGCGATTCGACCGTATTTCTTCGGTTCCTCCAACCACGCCCTACGTTTCCATCGGAGAAAACCAGGAAAACGGATACGGACCGACGATTTATACGGTCAAGATTGCGTATCACTGCGGCCGCGAGAAATCCTGAGAACTTCGCAGTACGCGGTTCCAATACAAAGAAGTCACTGTCCGAAGAAATGGCACTCCACTGTACGGGCTTTCTGGAAACGGAAAGTCAATAGCTCGGACCGTGGTTATCCGACATTTCGATCGGAAACTTTCCTACAGGGCGATCGAAAGAGTTTCCAGAGAAGCGAAAACTCGACGCTCACGTAGCCAATTCAACGCCACGAATGCTTGGCTCCATGGTGCTTGAATTGGAATCGAAACTTATGCGTGAACGTCTGAATTATTGGCAAAAAAGTGGATTAAAGAACAGAGGAAACGGACTGGAATTGTTTCTGATTTTTAAATTTCGAATTAATATTTATGAAGAGCATACTTTATGACGAAAGTTGAGGTTCATTCATAATTTTTATTTCAAAAGACGAAGTACTTGCATCGAAATGAAAATCAATCCGCTTTTAATGTGGTTTAATGAAGTACTATTTCTTTCTCCAAACAATATCCTTGTTTTCATTTCTATTGGTTCAATCCTCACACAAAAAATTCAAGAGATCCTTTGTAAATCAGAACTTCATCACCAATTCACATTATGAATTTTATTAACAGGATCTGCCCCGATAGAGGGGTTGAAAGTAGCTGTTATCTGATTAAACACCTGTTCATGAAATTCACTCTACAAGATTACAAATGTGCCTATTACTGGCAGAGGTCAAACATTAAATTTCATTAGAACTTGGACTCCGCTGCAACCCTTAGACTTATAGGTCCGATACTTCACTAAGTGCGATAATTACTGACCCGCAGGAAAGTCAAAGTCGATCGTACAGATGCCTCGAGAAACGTTCTTTACAGCGTTCCTTGCAACTGTTTGTAATTTACTCCGCTGGTGGAACAACGGCCCGTGAATAGGGTAGTCGTTAACGGTATCACCTTAAATTAATGCGTTTCCATTAGCCCCAAAGATCGTGCATTAGTCAGTCGATTCGATGAAGCGTGGGTGAGAGCGCTCAAAGGATTTTTTCCCTTCTAGTCGACCCTCTTCTGTAAAGAACTTCCGTAATTCGCTTACGCATTTGCAATGGACTTATCCTTGCTCTCGATTTCGCGAACATCCGTGTATATCCAGACGATCGACCCGATCTTGAGGAGGATCTAAAAGGCGAGCAGGCTGAGAGGGGATAGAGGGTAGATGAAACTGAAGCATTTAATCGGCTTGTATTCTCTCCCTTCTCGCATGGGATGCGATAGAAGCTGATATTCTCGTTGCAGCATCGCAGTCTCGTTCCAGCGAACACCACTTCCATTGCCACTATTTTAGCTACGTTCGAAAATGTTTCACTTGTTCCAAACACGCTTTTCCAGCTCCACGCGGAATTTTCGTTGAGGGCTGTCGAGTTCAAAGTAGACCCTTGCAGAAGTCATCTTCGCAATTTTTATTCAAACGTGGTAATTACCTTGTCGTTTTAACCCTTTTAAACCTGGCGTCCAAAAGTGAGGACATAAAATTGAAAAATTATCGACACTATCGTTTAGGGCGAATGCCCTTATTTGTGCACATATAGGAAGATCAGTTTTCCTCGAAAACTACACTATTAGGATTTAAAACAAATTTTTCCCATGAATTCTAATTTTAGTCCAAGTTAACCCTAAAAATTAAATTCCATTAGTACAAAAAAAAAATAATTCAGTGTGCTTTAATAAACCTTTGAGCAAAATAATGAGGTACCTCTACTATTGCAAATAAAGAATGTATCGGTACACCGTTACAGAGTAAAGTGAAATGAATTTCTGACTATTTCCTTTCCATGTACAATTACAATTCTTGATATGCCATCGAGCGATCGCAATGGCAACTTCGACGAGGAAAGAAGTGGACGCGTACACGGGTTTCTATTGCCGCGTGTGCGGGGAAAGAAAGCGGAAGAATGACAATGAAACACACTGCGAGTGGAGGGTCGGTATTCCGAAGCTTCCACGTACTCTGAAAGGCCACTTCTGACCTCTTCAGGGACGCGAAGTTGCCTCGACTAATGCACGGTAATCGCACGGTAGCTGACGAATACTCCACAGACTTGACCCCCTCGACGACATGAATGATTCAGCGAGCGAACTGAGGGCGTAGGGTCATTATTGTTATATAAAGGGGAATGAATTTTACACGAAACGGGACAGAGAGAGAGCGAGCGTACATTGACTGGCAGCGTTTACTGTTCGGTCGTGTTGAAATTGGATTAATCAGAACGATGAAAAAGAGGGCTGGCTCGACGACACGATAGAATAAAATTTATTACTATTGGCCGTTCGATAATGCACTTCAGGCGAAGATAAAACCTTCGGAATTCGATTAAGAATATAGTTTAAAGGCGGAAGAACAAAGATGAGGTAGCAAGAGGGCGGACGGGGTTGGGTGGCGCGGAATTGTCTGAATTATCGTGGTCGTTCGTCGTTGCCTAAAGCAGCCCTTTCTTCTCGTTTTATGAAATTCCTGTCATAAGTCTCTTAGGTAAGTTGATTGGATTGGTCGCTCGCAGCAGCCGCATCTCGTAACCCCGTTTTCGAACGAGAAAAGCGACCGGGATTTATAGTACGAGCCACCGTATATTGATGCCGCAGCTTAGATTTCGATTTGGACGGAGCTTTAGGCGAGCGTCGAATGGCGCCAATTTTCACAGGGCTCGTGAAACTTCGAATGTACAGGATGGATGAAACTTTATGAAATTCATGAGAAAGGTTCGTGCAGCAGGCGGATCCGGGAGCTGGCTCGATGGGGACACTACCCTGGAAATCGTCGCAGTCGAAAGCAAGAAAGTTTCACGGATTTTTGCGACAGTCGCGAGTCTTTGACTCGGCTTAACGGTTTTTAAGCTCAACCGAGGGAAAAACTCCGTTCTCATCGATCCCCGTGCGTAGCGTGTTCATGCGAGCTATGTGAATCTGGCACCCGACTTTTAAAAAAATTAAATTTTTGTACGGAAAATTATAGTATTTCGTTTGTACTTGATCGTACCGACAATAGTTGCGTTTGTATCTTCATCAATTAATAAATAAACAAAATTTTTTAAATGACCAGCACCCGACATTGGAAAAGGGAGAGGAACAAAGTACTCACCCGATTGCTACGCGTCGAATGTCTCACAGCATCTTTGGCTGCTTCTTGGAAACCTAGAAACATGTGCAGTGTTAGATTTTTCTTAATAATAAGGAATGTTGTGAGATTCAGATGGAGTTAGGTCTAGTTCATCAGGAACGACGCGACAAGTCCATCGAAAAATTCGAGACAGAGGAAAATGATTTCGTATTGATTCCCATCCAGGAGAATGTAGGGTTCAGAACGTTTCTCTACGTATTTTTGCATTTGAGGGTGGTCGGACAGTCGATACCCTTCTTTATCATTTTTAAGGCCGAGCAGCGGTCGTGGCGGAGGCGTCCGTATATTTATTTATCCGAGCGCCCAGGCAATAAAACACAGGACTGCAGCGCGTATCCTGTCGCATCGTTGTTTTCCCGTGTCTAGCGATATTTCGTTTAGGAATTCGTAGACAATGGCGGCTGGAAGCGTAAGGCGAGGCGCGTATAACGCGTGCAGAGGTATGTCTGATTTAATACGAAAACGGAGCGAGATTCTAGCCCGCGACGGGCTAGAAATTTGACGGAGACACCGACAAACTATTCGCAGTAGATTCATCGAGAAACTTCAAGAAGCCGAAGGCCCCTTCGTCTGTCTACCTCCAGTTCGCTCGAGTTGTACGATTTAATAATGAATTTATTCGAGAACGTTGTGTATCTTCGCGCTTCTGGTTGCATAATCAACGACTCCAAACCATGGCGAGAGATTCTATCGAGGAAAAACTAATTCATCCTGACTTCTACAATCCAGCAACGTCGAGTCGTCCTGGGGTAGAGTTTAATCCGTCAAACACTAACGAATTCCATCCAATGATCGTGGGCGAGAGCTGAGGGAATAGACGGATATCGAGTCGTCGTTGCAAATTTAATAATAGAAAAAGTTTCCAGTACTAGAAATTTAACAAGGCACCCTGACTCTGGACGTTTCGTCGAATCGGTTTCGAAAGTTTCTCTTGTGACGTTGCTCGGAGTCCGGCATTCAACTCGGAGATCAGTGCAATCTCAGCTAAAGGGGATTCCATAGGGAATCGATATGTGAATGTCTGTTAGAGGCTGGAGAGCTTTGAATGGTGAAACTTGATCTCACTCTATGGTAGCTCAACCCCGCTAGACGAAATCGTTTGACTAATAGAATGTTCGATTATTAGTTCAATTATCATTTCATTTTATTGGAATGTATCTCGAGGCCCTCGATTGCGCACTCTTGAAGAGGATGCTCTTGAACGAATATGTTTGCTATGCATTCGGTTGGATGGTTTCCGATTATTTTTATATGTTAGGTTTGTCTAGAGATTACGATCTGGTAAGACGATTATTGTCGGTTCGAACTACTGGGCTTGAACATATATTTAACAAGTTGGTCACCACGTCACCTAGAAATGGGTGACAGGACTTATTACAAAAATTAACTCCAAAGGTGAGGAAATAATGAAAATAAATCTGGATAGGATTCGTGAATTTGGCGATGTTACAAAATCCTATACTACGACAAATGTTAAATTATCCTATCTTCAATAGTCTCGAGACGTAATTTTAACTTTGTAACAATTTTCACGAGTTCTAACTTGGCAGCCAACGTGTTAATTGAGGTTTTGAAACGCTAGTAATGTTGAAATCCTTAAAAATTCTTGCCATCTCGTAAGAATGTTTAGATTATTATTATTCTAAAGTGGTAAACCTATCCATGGATCAGTTAGTATAAATAGAAAGTACTTCTGTACCTTTACGAAGCACTCTAGGTATATCAAAGCACCTTGAAACGTGAAAAATTGATATGTAGAACATTCACGCTAAGTATTATGCAAGACAGTATTCGAGTACAATCCCCGATGAAACCAAAGAAAAGCAAACCATCGTCCCATGGTGCAATCCAGAATCTTGCGCCCGCAATAACGTCTGTTGGTCGCCATCCATCCTCCTCCTCTCCCCAAAAAGAAAACCATTTCGCGGCCGCCTTTGTTTCACACCCTTCGGGTCTTCAGGGCGAGCATAGACGGAAGCGTGGACGCGGAGGCGCAAAGACAAATAGGCAGCCAGAAAGCAAGCTATCGCGGTACAGTAATCCCAAGCGTGTTTTCTGGGTCGGTTGCACCCTGGATTGCGGTTCCCAGGCCGCATTGTCTCCGCGAAATACGGTCGCGGAAGAAACGAAAATTATACCCCCACACCCCCCCCACACCCCACCCCCGGCCCCACCTTGCCATCCCCTCGCGAAATGCTTTATTTCCTCCGTCGGTCTGGCGTTTCCTCTTTCACGTTCCTCCTCCCCTCCGTCTTTCAGTTTCTCGTTCTGGCCGAGCAACAGGAGAGAGTGACGACGAGGTCATTTGCCTTTACGTAGAGTCATAAAGTCTCCGGGACATAACGTTTTCTGAGAGAATAGATGATCGGGGGGGTAGAAAGGACATGAAGCAACAAGAGAGAGATAAGGAATTGGCAAATATCTGGGAATCATTCTTCAGGAAAGCTGCTCGGGGCTTTCTGTAGCGAAAGATGGGATTTGGAAAACCTGCCTCGACTTTAAAACGTCTGAACCCGTGGTTAGTCGTAAGAGTCCTCTGCTTTATGTCGTATGAGATGACTTTAATACGTTTGACCTTATTTTTCAATTTCTCCCCATTACTGATAATTTAATTCACACTTCGATACGTGTACTTAACAAAAATATCGAATATACAAAATGGCATTTGTTTATTAACAAAACGTATTTAACACTGAACCTACCACGACAAGTTAAATCGTTTTCTAACCGTTTTTAAACTTTTGTATACAGTTCTTATATACAATGTACAAATTATTCGTTTGTCCAGGAAGTGTCAACTTTTAAAAAAAATTCGAAGGTACATTTGAATTTGACCTGTACCACCTACCAAAAATCAGCATGGACTTTCCAAACAACACAATATATACAATTGTTTCTAGTACCATGTGAAATATTTTAATTAAAAAAAAGTGTCTTTAAGACTAGTCATTAGTCCGATCAGAAATTACAAATGGAATGTTGGTATAGTGTTAATAAGTAAAGTAATCTACTTAAGCTTCTAGGCGCGAATCCCTCAGGTTCGAGTCTACGACGATGGTACACGATGAAGCAGGGGATGGAACACGAGTAGTCGCGTGCCGCGTGCAGAAGAGACCCATTTTTTGCCTCCATCGCTCCGATCCGGAGGTGTACGCGTGTTCCTGTTATCTTCTCGTTAACTGCCACTCCGGATCTTCTCATTTACACTCTCTTCCGATCCCCTTTTTTCCTCCTTTCCGCTCGTTCCCAGCGGCCCTTTCGATATCGGTATCATGTCCTGGGGTGACTTGGAATCGAATCCAATCCGATCGATCGAGACTACGGGGGCGCCCGCGCCGCCTGGCTAACGGGATTAGCAGGGAAATTTAAGAATTAAGCGTGATTCCGGCCGCGTATCCGGTTCCGCTGACGCTCGTCAAGTTGAATTACGAGCGGTAATCCCTCGGCGGAGGCTAAAACTATTCCGCCTGCAAATCTAATTTTTAGCGGAACGGTAACGTATTAAGCGCGATAATTAAAACTGCAAATTCCCGCCCGGATGAGAAACGCTCCGAGCCGATAAGGATGCAGTCGGAAAGAAAGATTGCCAGGTGATACGAATTATCCCCTCTGGCTACGCTAATCGATTGATCGTCTGTATGAGAAACTGCTGCAATTTCTGGCTATCTTACTGGCTAGCGATTCTGGGACCTAATCGAAAACTACACTTGTACCTGAACTGTGAACGACTCGGTTAACTTGGTAACATTCTAGACAGAATGCTAATCTCCTTCTCTCGTGATAGAGACATTTTTCAACAAATTTAGAAGTATCAAAACTAATGTCGAGGATGCCATACGAAATTTCATGATCTGCCGATGAACCATTCCCGTGATATATAGTAGAACAGAGGCAAACATACATACATGCTACGCTGCACTAATTGATTGGCCACCCACACATGCATACGAAGCTACGCAATAGATGACATGTGTGATACTCTTCACTCACTGATTCTCTCACTCCTCGACTACTGACACTCACTACTGACAGTCTTTTATCCGTCAGGGCATTTTGATATAATTCTGCATTCTAGCCAACGCAACAATATCTTCTCATTATTCCTTCAAGCAATTCTACTATTATAAATATTCCACTATTTCGGTAATGATGTAGTAGAGCCAATCACGAAGCTACATTTCTTTGGGTTTAAGTTTGAAACTCCTATCCAAAGGGTATCCTAATTATCCTGATCATCCTGATCATCCTGATCATCCTGATCATCCTGACTATTGTATCACGGTCCGATTCCACTTTCTGTGCTGCAGCACCGATATCGGATGGCTCTGATGTGCATAGAATTTGCATGTCATCGACATACGTACGCGCTGAGTAGTGATTACAATTGTAAACTAGATCAGTGACATAGGTATTAAATAATAATGCTTCAGGACAGCGCTCCGAGGAACGCCACGGATGACGCCCTGAAGGAAGATACTCGTTTCCTCGATCGAAATTCGCTGAGCATGTGAGCCCATCCATGATGGGCCACGCGGTGCCAAAAATGAATAAATAGAGGGTATGGGTTTAAATATCCAAATGTTCATTTACAACGTCCAGTAGGAGATAGGTGAGTGGAGGGCGCTGATTCTATCAAGTGGTAGTTAACCCTTTGCACTCGATGTTTTTTCTTCTGGCATCTACTACCAACTCGAGATGATTTTTTAACATTCTATTCCCACGAATGCTAAGGACCTTTATCTCGCCGACAATCATTTTATTGACACTTCGAGTTTCAAAGAAATTAAACCTAAACAAACATTATTGTTGGTTGATTTACTGCGTCAAACTTAGTGGTGAACGAGAGTCACCTCTCGAGTTACTGCATTACATTAAAATGTGACTGAGAGTCACCTCTCGAATGCAAAGGGTTAATAATATAATAGTCCAATGGGTGAGTTTAAAGATTTTTCTAGAATTATTTATCACGATTTTTATTATTTGGGACAGCATACGTCGCCGTTTGAAGGTTCTG